ATGAGCTTCTGAGCTAGTCAACAAATGTGTATGGGCACCTGCTGTGCTGTAGGCATCACGCCAGACACGAGAGGTACAGCCAAGAATGAGAAGCATATATAAAATAGGAGTCCAGTGCAGGGGACAGTTTTAAAAATAATTCCTGTGATGGTTATAATTTTTTTTTGGCAGAATTGGGGTTTGAACTCAGGGCCTTGCACTTGTTAAGTAAGTGCTCTACCACCTGAGCCATGCCCCCAGCCCATTTTGCTTTGGTTCCTGGCCAGCCTGGACCAAGATTCTCCTATTTACACTTCCCTAGCTGGGATAAGGGGCATGCACCGTCATACACAGTTTTTATTGGTTGAGATGGAGGTCTGATGAACTTTTTGTCTGGAGTCTCAAACTGAGATCTCTGCCTCCTGAATACCTAGGATTCTAGGCTCAAGCCACCACGCCCAGACACTTTTGAGTTTATTTTTCAGGTAGGGTCTTGCTTTTTGCCCAGACATTGGCCTAGCCTCAGACATTGATCCTCCTATCTCCACCTCCTGAGTAGCTGGAGTGGTGTGTACCACTATGACTTCTCCTGTGATGGTTAATTTTGATTGTCATCTAGATTGGATTGAGAAATGCCTAAAAGTTTAGTAAAGCATAAGGGCCAGGAGTGGTGCTATAGTGCTGAAATCCCAGCTATTTAGGAGGCAGAGGATTATGGTTCAAGGCTGGGGCAAAAAATTAGGGAGACCCCTATCTCTACAAATAAGCTGGGCAAGGTGACATATGCCTGTGATCCCAGCTAAAAACAAGAGACCCTAACCGAAAAATAACTAAAGCAAAAGGGCTGGGGGTAGGGCTCAAGTGATAGAGCACCTGCCTGGCAACCATGAAGCCGGAGTTCAAGCTCCAGTACCACCAGAAGAAAAAGATTAATAAAGCACACCTCTGGGCGTGTCTGTGAGCGTGTTTCCACACACAATTAGCTATGAACCTTTTATTTTTTTCATGAACGGTTTAATCCATTGATGGATTCAAAGTCTGCAGAGACTCTTGAGAGGCAATGGAAACTAGTGGGTGGGGCTGGAGGAAGCAGGTCCCTGGGGGGTTTTGTCCTGGCCCCTTCTTGTCCTCACCCTGCTTCCTTTCTGCCATGAGGTGAGTAGTCTTCTCCTCTGTAGGTCCCTGCTGCCATGTTCTGTCCCACCATGGGTCCAGAAACCAAGGAACTGGCCTTGATGGTGGAACCTCTAAAACGTGGAGTTTAAAGAAATCCTTCCTCCCTAAAGTTATTTATGTCAGGTATTTGGTCACAGTGGTGAAAAAAAGTAACTAACACAATTCCCAACACTTACTCCTAATTGTGATGAGTTCTGTGTTGTTAAAAAAGTTTATCAAAGGGCCTTAATCCAGGTAAGAGGGTTAAGCAGGCCGTGAGATAACTTTGAGAAGCAGTAGCATGAGGCTTGCCATGTACAGTTGTACAGTCTGTATACTGCACAAAGGTAACCAGCTGAGAGGATAGGAAAGAGCCAAAATCCGGTTCCTGCTCACTTGCCCAAGCTGTACCCTCTTCTAATTCTTACAAAGGTGTTGTATAGACTAGCAGGACAGTGTTTAGTCCCCCACCCCTCCCCACACACACACCAAAGCTGCACTAAAGGAATTTGGGATGGAAGTGAAAACAGCAACCATGTGCATGCAGGCTACAGGTGTTCCCGGCTCCCTCCCTCCTATCAGAATGAGCTCCCCAAGTCCCTCAAGACTTCTGGGATCAGGGAAGGAAGTGACACAGGGCAAGAAGGGGTTGGTCCTCTGGAGCCTGAGTACTAGCATGTTCAAGGCCTCTGAAGGAAGTGCCTGTCAGAGAAGGGGCAGCCAGAGTGGCTAAAGTGTGGACAGAGATGGGATGGGACAGCATTAGGGGTGGATTGGACGGTGACCATACCACATCAGGGGTTCAACTCTTTATATCCCCCTCCCTAAGCACTACCTCAGTGTGACAATAATAAAGGAACACCTTTACTCTGTCTTTTTAGTTCCCAGCTGGAATTCACACTTGTTCTTCCTTACCCTCCTAAGTGAAAAATCTCTGTTCCATCTGGGCAGACAACACTGAGGCACAGAAAGGTTAAGCAGTCTGCCCAAGGTCGGCTGGCTACTCAGGTAAGGATCTCACCAGCTCTGTGGGGTCTGAGCCCTTCTCTTGGCTGCCCCACAGCGAGGTTATCATGGACAAGCAGGCACCCTGGGAGTCCACAGCCTCCCCACTCAAGATGGAAGTGTGGCGACACGCAGGCACCTGGGTTTCACCCACCCCTACTGTCACAAGAATCACATACATGCTATGAGCTAGAAGCCTGAGACTACAGAGTAGCCCAAGCCAAGTGGCAATTGCTTTCGCAGCTGGTAGACAACAGCCTGGAATCTCACAGGCCAGGTTACCTGCAAACAGCCTATTATAACCAGTATGCCAGAACCGCCAGCTGATCCATCTATCCATTTGCCCCAGGCTTGTCTTTTATTGCTACTCCAAGGGAAAGGTTGAGAAACTAGCAGCAACTCCAAGAAGCAGCTGCTGTATGCTATGCTTCTGCTTGATTCCTCAGCCTGTAGGAATAAATCTGAACCTGTCTGGCCCTTCTGATTAATTACTGGTCCAAATCATCTTCCATTTGGGGGCCTCTCTGACCTCAGGATCCTTTGACCCCAAGATAATTCCCTGTCTTAGTGTGCATACTACAGTAAGCAGAAAGGCTTGGTGGAAAAGATCAGTGGGCTAGATACGTAGGAGGCAGAGTTTAGGAGGATCATGATTCAAGGCCAGTCCCAGCAGAAAGGTACTGAGACTCCCATCTCAGTAACAAACCAGGCAAGGTGGCCACTTGTGTAATTCCAACTGTGTGGAAGGCATAGAGGATCACGGTCAAGAGTCCAGCTGGAGCAAGAAAGCCTAAGCCCATATCTGAAAAATTAAACTAAAGCAGAAGGGATTAGAGGCCGTGGCTCAAGCGGTAAAGCCCACAAGGCCGTGAGTTCAAACCACAGTACCAGAAAAAAAAAAAAAATCAGTGGGTGAGGAAAATCCGAGTTCCCTTCAGCTCTAAGGCTGTGGGACTTTGGAGAACGCTCTGCCCCCTCCTCTGCACCCCACCCTGGATCAGGGCCTGGCAGGAAACACAGAGCAGAGTGGCCTGGTGACACAGGGAGCAGTGGAGACCCGGCAAAGTCGACCATGCCTGGCCACCCACAGGCAGCCCATCAGAAATGGCTTCTGCCACCCTCCTTTTCCAGGGGTTGGCTTTGCTCCCTAGGGAACATACGATGCCCAAGTATCGGCAACCGGTCCAAACCTCGGAACGACCCAGGTGGGGCGCCAGACCACTCATCTGGGGCCACCAGCCGGCGACACCCAAGCGCCGCGGTAAACCTGAGGCTCCCTCCTAAGGGTCGCTCTGGTCCGGGAGGGGGATAGTCCCCGCCGGACTCCTGGGGAAGGGACTCGGGGTGCCCGCACGCCTGCTCGCGGGCACTGCGCTCAGCGCTGCCCGAGCTCGAGGCCGGGGGACCGAGGGGGTCGGGGTGACACAGGGGAAGCGGAGGGTGAGGGGAGACCAGGGAGACCGAGGGTGCTGGGAAGGGACCCGGAGAGCGAACGAGAGGATCGCAAGGGGAACTCGCGTGCGGGGCGGGGCGGAAGCAGCGCCCTCCCCTCACCCGCCCGGTCCTCCCAAGGGGCCCGAGGCCACGCCCACAGCCGGTCTGTGCGGTCGGTGGGCGGGGCCTTAGTGCGAGCGTAGTCGGCCCTGGGCAGTGCGGAGGTCGCCCGAGGGGACAGGGCAGCTTCCGGGGAGGGGGCCGAGTGCACTCCGCCGCTGGCCGCAGCATTTCCAGGATCCACGCGCGCGAATGAGGCGGGTCCCGGCGACTTACTGAGCAGTGTCCCCAGTGCAAAAGATGAGCGGGGCCGGGGGCGGGGGCGGGGGCGGGTGGGGGGAGGCGCGTGGGAGCGTGCCACTGCGCGTGCACGGGAACGGATGGGGTGCTCAATGCTTTTTTGCAGTACTGGGGATTGAAACGTGTTCTATCGTTGGAGCCATGCTCCCAGTCCTAATTTTTTTCATTTTCATTTTGTGTTTTTTATTTATTTATTTTTTTATTATTCATATGTGCATACAATGCTTGGGTCATTTCTCCCCCCTGCTCCCACCCCCTCCCTTACCACCCACTCCGCCCCCTCCCTCTTTCCCCCACCCCCTCGATACCCGGCAGAAAGTATTTTGCCCTTATCTCTAATTTTGTTGGAGAGAGAGTATAAGCAATAATAGGAAGGAACAAGGGTTTTTGCTAGTTGAGATAAGGATAGCTATACAGGGCATTGACTCACATTGATTTCCTGTACGTGTGTGTTACCTTCTAGGTTAATTCTTCTTGATCTAAGCTTTTCTGTAGTTCCTGGTCCCCTTTTCCTATTGGCCTCAGTTGCTTTTAAGGTATCTGCTTTAGTTTCTCTGCCTTGAGGACAACAAATGCTATCTAATTTTTTAGGTGTCTTACCTATCCTCACCCCTCCCTTGTGTGCTCTTGTTTTTATCATGTGCTCAAAGTTCAATCCCCTTGTTGTGTTTGCCCTTGATCTAATGTCCACATATGAGGGAGAACATAAGATTTTTGGTCTTTTGGGCCAGGCCAACCTCACTCAGAATGATGTTCTCCAATTCCATCCATTTACCAGCGAATGATAATATTTCGTTCTCCTTCATGGCTGCATAAAATTCCATTGTGTATAGATACCATATTTTCTTGACCCATTTGTCAGTAGTGGGGCATCTTGGCTGTTTCCATAACTTGGCTATTGTGAATAGTGCCGCAATAAACATGGGTGTGCAGGTGCCTCGGGAGTAACCTGTGTCACAGTCTTTTGGGTATATCCCCAAGAGTGGTATTGCTGGATCAAATGGTAGATCAATGTTTAGCTTTTTAAGTAGCCTCCAAATTTTTTTCCTTCGTTTTGTGTTTTGACACAGGGTCATTCTTTATAACCCAGGCTGGCTGCGAACTCCTGTTTCTCCTGATTATACCTGTCAAGTGCTGGGATTACAGGCGCCAAAATGTATTCTTGTATGTCTCTTTGTGTGTTTGGGAAAATATGAGTATTTGTGCATACCACTGTATAATGTATGTGTAATATGTATGCTTTTTATGTAAGCTCATTAATAGCTGTATATGAGTTTGTTTATGTATATGTGTCCATGTATATGTGCTGAGGTATACCTCTGTGTACCTAAATGCTCACTGTGTATATAAGACTGGCCTTTCCTGAGTTGGTATTTGAATATGTGTATGTACATGAATTTGTGGATTTGGTATGTGACCGTGTATCCTTGGATACAGATTGTTTTGTGTGTCAGTGTTGTAAAGATGTGTATGTGGACCTGCATGTGTTTTTGTGAATGGTGTATGCACCTGCATGTGTGTTTGTGTGCAGGTGAATACATTTGGGATTCATCTGTGATCAGAACTGCAGTGTGTTTTGACCAGTGTATCTTGCATAAATGAGAATGATGTGTTTGGGAAGGCTGTGTATGTATCTTGACATATATGTAGCCACTGATTCACCTATGATTGGAGCCATTTGATTCTTCAGGATTGGGAGGTGGGGGACTGTGGAAGGAGGAAAAGCCCTGTGTGCTGCCCACTGAGCAGAGCCTCCAGAGCAGTGGCCTCCAGAGCAGTGGGAGGTGAGACGAGCACAGGCTGAGCCAGACCCAAGGAAGTCCTTGAATGCCAGAATGGGCATCAGACCTCCTCCACCTTCCCGACCTCTTGATCTGTGTCTTTCAGGGCTTACCTTGCCAGTGCTCTTTTTTTTGGCAGTATGGAGGTTTGAACTCAGGGCTTCATGCTTGCTAAACAGGCACTCTACCACTTGAGCCACTCCACCAGCCCATGTTAGTGCTCTTCTGCACAGCACAGGTCCTTGATAGTTAGGCAGTAGCAGCACTGATGGAACATGACTATGTATGTTCCTGCCTCTGAAAAGCGCTTCACAGGCTGGGCACAGTGGCTCACATCTGTAATCCCAGCTACTCAGGAGGTAAAGATCAGGAGAATTGAGTTTCCAGTCCAGCCCAGCTGAAAAGAAAAGTTACTGAAATCCCACTTCAACAAACAAGCTGATATGGTGGAACATGTTTGTAACACCAGCTATGCAGAAGGCGTAGGTAGAAGAATCACAGTCTAAGGCTGACCTGGGCAAAAAACCATGAGCCCTTGTCTGAAAAAAAGCTAAAGCAAGAAAGGATGGGGGGTGGGGGAGGACAGGCACCAGTGGCTTACACCTGTAATCTTAGCTACTCTGTAGGGAGAGATGAGGAGGATCGGAGTTTAAAGCCAGCCCCAAGCAAATAGTTTTCGTGAGACCCTATCTTGAAAATACTCAACGTAAAATGGCTGGTGGAGTGGCTCAAGCAGTAATGCATATGCTTAGCAAGAGTAAAGCCCTGAGTTCAAACCCCAGAACAACCAAAATAAAAAAAAGAAAAAAGAAAGTCTGGGGGCATGGTTCAGGTGGTAGAGTATCTACCTGGCAATCACACCCTGAATTTAAACCTCAGTACCTCCAAAAACAAAATAAAAAACAAACAAGCACTTCACAGGCCCTGGGTCAGCTCTAAGAAGCAGAGACTATTCCTAATTTTACCAAGGGGGAACAGAAGGTCGGTAAGGTTGTCTCTTACCAGACACTCCACAGCCTCCCAACCACTTACTGTTTTGGTGAGATAATTCAATGCTGAGGATGGCTGTCCTGTGCCCTGAAGGATATTTATTTAACAGCTTCCTAGCCTCTGCCCAGATACCAATAGCACCTCCGACCCCAGGTAGAAGAACCAAAATGCCGGTAGACATTTCCAGATTGTTATTTAGGGATTGAGAGCTACTGTGCTAAACTCTCCTGCCTCCCTGGAGAACCATTTTCTCAGGGGCTGTACTGACTCCACCCTGCCTAGTGGCCTCAGCTATCCCTCTTTAACTGTGGTACAGTGCTTGCCTAGCAGTTGGGCTTTGGGGTCCCTCCTTAGGACTGCAAGACAAAATAAAAGCAAAAAACAGTGGTCCCCACATCCATACAAGTATCCCCTTGTCTTTTGCCACAGTCATCCTGAAGACTCAGCAGCTGAGCCACTTTACCCAGAATCTCAACTCTGAGTCTTAGCCACAGAAAACACAGGCTTGTCATTTTGCAGACACTTCTAGGGCTCGCACCCCTGTGATTCCCTGTGGTCATGGAGGAGGCATGCCCAAGCCTGCTGACCCTCTCTGGCCCAGCACTGTGGATGCTGCTATGAGTTTGCTTTCTTGGCTCAGCGAGAGCACTATGCAGTGCTGGGTCCAAAGAAGTACCATTTGATGTAGTATAGCTTATGTGATTTCATTTTTGCAAATCCAATGACCTGGCTTTCCCCTCTGACAGGATCAGCTTTTCATGAGCAGGTTCTGCATGGGGGCCAGAGCACGTTCTCAGGAAAGACAGGTTGGAGCTGTGAGTAGGGCTCTCGGAGAGTTCAAACCTGGGCGTAGGCCTGGGCAAACAGTCATGCTGCCATGGCTTGGCAGGGCAGGGCCTGGGGTGCAGAGGCAAGAGTGCAGTGGCTGTGCCACATGCAGGAAGTTAACATTTCCACTACAGACAAGCCACAAGCGACAGCGCTCAGGACTTCTCGTCACCACTGTCTGTGCCCCTCAGGGAATGGCCCACTTTGTGTGTGTGTGTGTGTGCGTGTGTGTGTGTGTGTGTGTTGCTGGGGTTTAAACTCAGAACCTATACTTTGAGCCACTCCACCAACTCTTTTTTGTGATGGGTTTTTTCGAAATAAGGTCTCTCGAACTGTTTGCCGTGCTGGCTTCGAACCATGATCCTCTTGATCTCTGCCTCCTGAGTAGCTAGGATTATAGGCATGAGCCGCTGGCACCAGCTTGGGATGGTCCTCTTGACTATTCCTCTATGTCTCTCTCCCTTCCTCCGTCTCTCTCCCTTCTTCTCTTCCTCCTCCTCTGTCTCTCTGTCTCTCTGTCTCTCTGTCTCTCTCTCTCTCTCTCTCTCTCTCTCTCTCTCTCTCTTTCATGTTTGCAGGGCCTTTTGCTCTGGTCCGTGGAGACAAGTTCCCCTCTCCAGGCCACAGCTTTCCCATTCCTATGGTGGATACCAAGAGGTCTTATCTTGGGCTGGAATGGCTCAAGTGGTAGAATGTCTGCCTGGCAAGTGTGAGGCCCAGTGTTCAGTACCACCAAAAAACAAACAAAAAAAAAGAGGCCCTATCTCACGGAATTAGGTGAGATTGTACATGTAACCCATGCCAACCATGGGATGAGTCCTTTTTTTTTTTGTGGTACTGTGACTTGAACACAGGGGCTTATGCTTGCTAGGCAGACACTCTCTACTTGAGCCACTCCACCACCCCAGGATGAGTCCTTATTAAGTAGCAGCTACCACCATGGTCATTATTCTTGACTAACAATAAGTTGAGGTGGAGCAGTTACAATTGTCAGGCACTGTGCAAGCTCTGAACAGTTCTTTTCTCACTCAATCCCATAGTTGGAAAGAAGCAGCTCCAGTACAGTGGTGTTAAGTAACTTGCTCAGAGCAACAGAGCTAAGAAGCAGCAGCTCTGCATCGGAACCAAAGGATGCTCACTACATGACCTCATAACCTGCTCTTCTCCAGAAAAGTAGATTTCACCACAGGAAGGAGGGTGGTCCACAACTGGTGCATCCTGAGTGAATGTGAGAGGCCTAGAGGAGAGGCCTGGAGAAGACTGGGAAGGTGCTTGGCCTCAAGAGGTAAAATTCCTTCTTCTTCCTGTGACAGAACCACTTAGCAGAGTGGTCTTATGGTCTCTCAGGATTACTGCCAAGTTTTTCCAGTGTACAAAGTTTATGTTTACTCTAAACCAGGGTATATGTTGTCCCCAAGCTTTTTGTTTGAAGTGGACTGTAGGAAAGTGCAGAAAAGCATCGACTTGCTACAAGTCAAAGGGCAGATGGGAGGCCCATGGTAGAGTCAGGGCCAAAGGAGGGCAGTTTACCAGGAACTGTGAGGATTTGGCCAGGTGGTTATGGAAGAGGGTCTGTGCAGAAGGGTTAGTTCACCCAACAAGGTGTCAGAGGGGCAAAAGGATCCATGTGATAATTGTTGCTTTTTTTTAAAGAGTTACTCAGCCATTACTTTTCCTTTTACTGTGATAATATGGTTGTATTACTTAACTACTGCTGTTTAGCAAATTACCTCAAAGCTTAGGCGTTTAAAACAACACATATTTAGCTTTGCCATTTCCTACATCCAGATTCGGGAATGATTCAGCCAGGCCCATTGGTTCAGAGTCCCTCACTCCTGTAATCCTAGCTACTCAGGAGGCAGAAATCAGGAGGATCGTAGCTCGAAGCCAGCCTGGGCAAATCATTTGTGAGAAACTATCTTGAAAAAAGCCCTTCACAAAAAAGAGGCTGGTGGAGTGGCTCAAGGTGTAGGCCCTGAGTTCAAATCCCAGTACCGTAAAAAAGATGTGAGCCAGGTCTGCAGTCATTTGGAGACTTGGCTGGTGCTGGAAGATCCACTTCCAATTCCAAGATGGCATACTCACGTGGCTGTTGACATCAGGCCCTGACTCTCTGGAGGACTTCTTGAATGTTCTCTCAACATGGAGGTGGGCTCTTTACCTCACCTTACTAGAATACACCATTTCCTGAGAATCCTGTTGGTCATACAGGTCAGTCCCATTCAGTGTGAGTGCCAGGAGGTGAAGGTCATGAGGCTGTGCTGGACACTATCACAGTACAGTGGTCATTATTGCTGTCTTGTTTACTGTATACTGAAGATTCTGCATTTCACATCAAATCCAGTATTCAAAACCTGCTGCAAGCACCCAAACATTGAGAGTCATTCATTTTTAACTGGATCTGTCTGTGGTGTTCTCCTGGGGACATGACGCAATCAGTGCTCTAGGATGGCTCCATCAGAAATAAAGTCCCACAGTCTGTGACACTGAAAGCTCATTCCCTGTGCCAGCAGGACCTGAATTTAAGAGCATGAATTTTGCCATCATACAGAACTGGCTCCCCTGTCGATGACTTGAGGACTGTGGTCAGTGGCCTTAGCCTTTCTGAGTTTCTGTTTATAAAATGGGTTGAAATCCACTTCACAGGGTTGTGGGAAAGATGAAATACAGGATAGCAGAGCTCTGGTAACTAGAGTCAGGAGCTCAGCCAGTCTTGGTCCACAGTTCTATTATTAATAAGGTAACAATACAACAATAGCTCACATTTATTTTGAGCTCCTCTTAAGAAGCTAAAAAGTTTAGAGCAGGGCTGGCAGAGTGGCTCAAGTGGTAGAGCGCCACCCTAGCAAGTGTGAGACCCTGAGTTCAAACCCCAGTACGCCAAAAAAAAAAGTTCACAGCAGCTTAGAACACTGCCCAAGACCCACAGCTAGGAGACTGGGACTCAACTCCAGGTCTATGTGTCTCCAAAGCTACACAGTGTAGATAAGTTGCTCCTTTCACTTATTCACTGCACTAGTCCATAATGATCCACATATTGCATTGTTCTACCTTCTTCCTGCCTGCTCCCACTCTTTTTTGGTGCTTAGCAGGATGTGGACATACCATAATTGGTTAACTATTTTTCCTAAGTAATAGGAGTAGGGGATACTTAATTTCTAACATTTTGCTATTAACAGAGGGGCTCTAGTGAGTATCTCTGCTGCCCAAGCGTTTGTCTGGAACTCCCAGCATGCTTGAAGATGTAGTCATGCTTCATTTATGTCCTCTATTTTATCCTCCATCTGCCCCAGAACATGATTCTTTCAGCCTTGAACACTTGTTTAACAGAGGACCTTTTTAGCCTAAGAATCCCTGCTTTCTCACTGGGGAAGGCCTTCACCACATGACAGTCCTGTGGAGTGCTTTTCTTTGCTCTGCAGTGGGTTCACCTGATAAACCAGGAAAGTGGAATCAGGTTTAACAAAAGGACATCCCTGAGTAAATTAACCCTGGACTTACAGTCTGGGCTTACCAGATATGGCCCCTGTATCAGTCAGGGTAGTCTGAGTTACTGTGCAATAGCAAATGAGCCCCAGAGAGGGGCTTAAACATCTCTGTGGGGCACTGTGGTGAGCTCTGTTTAGTGTTTTTACTCCAGGCCCCACAGTTGATAGAGCAGCCACCAACCCAGATAGTGCCAGTGCCATTCCAGGAGGCAGGGAAGACCAGGTAAATTGCACTCTGCTGTTCATGCTTCCAACTAGAAGGGACACATGTTTTTTGTTTTGGTTTGTTTTTTGCAGTACTGTGGCTTGAAATCAGGGACTACACCTTGAGCCACTCCACCAGACCTTTTTTGTGATGGTTTTTTTCAAGATAGGTTCTCACGAACTATTTGCCGGGGCTGGCTTGGCTTCAAACAGTGATCCTCCTGATCTCTGCCTCCTGAGTAGGTAGACATTGGCGGTTTACACGATGTTTTGTTTGCTTTTTGACAAAGTTCACTTAAAAGGCCAGGGACATGTGTCTTTCCATGCCCTCCAAGTGGGAAGGACTGGAATATTTGGTGAACAGCACAAATGACCATCAAGGGAGAGTCTGACAGTTCTAACATGTGTTGGAACAATTAGGTCCAGGCTAGAAGTGGCTTAGCATTCTGTCCTAGAGGAATGACCTTGGTCTTTAGAACCCTTCTTGCTCACACCCTGAAGCCGAGCTGACCTGGAATCTCTGGCCCTCAGACAATGAGGAGCATAGTGGACAGTGGGGCCATGGACTCTCCGCACGACCACAGGACCATGTGGGGCACTTTGAATTCTGAACTGTATCAGCCATAGAGTGCAAGCTAGTCTGTGCCCTTGGGCAATAGAAAGGCCATTTGAGTCCATGTGACCTTGGATAAAACATCTGGAAGCATCCTAAATGTACCACAAAGGGAAATGGATACACCAGCCAGAATGCTAAATACTAAAGATAAATGATTAGTAATATATATGTATACACATATTCCTCCAAAACATAGTGCTGAGAGAAAAAAAGTGTCAGAATGCCTTGTGACCTTGACCCATTTGTGTGATGTTGGAACACAGGCGCTAAACAGTACCCCTCGCATTGCTCCTTGATGCATATACTATAAATGCTAGTGGGTGTGGAAAGCTAAGAGGGAGTGGGGAGGAAGGGAGGGAACAAGAATGGGAGGCAAATAGGGCTTTTTGTACTTTTTTCTTTTTTTTTTTTGAGACAGGTTCTCCTTTGTATATGCAGCCCAGGCTATCCCCGAACTCAGGACCCTCCTGCTTTAGGCTCTCTAGTGCTGGGATTACAGGCATGTCCCATCACACCTTGTACTGTTTATACTTTAAAAAAGTAAAAAGAAATGGGTTAAGCAAATATAGTATAACAAACTTTTATTTTGTTTTTTATACTATACCAAACTTTTTTTTGTACTGGGGCCTACACCTTTATCACTCCACCAGCCCTTTTTCGTGATGGGTTTTTTAAAAGATAGGATCTCCTGAACTATTTGCCCGAGCTGGCTTCAAACTGTGATCCTCCTGATCTCTGCCTCCTGAGTAGCTAGGATTATAGGCATGAGCCCCCATACCCTGCCAATAACAAAATTTTTACAGTTATCAATTCTGAGGACTTGGCTGTTTGTGATCCTTGTATTGTCTTTTTAGTGTAGAAAAGGGAAACCTTGTTTGGTCTCCCTAGGTCTTAATCTTAATCTTCCCATCTCTAAAGTAAGGTCTCTAAGAATATGGAGTTATCAGACAAGATGGCTTTACAGATTCAGGACATTTCAAGGGGATAAAATTGAAAAATGATATACAAAGGTGGTTTTTTTTTGTTTGTTTGTTTTGTTTGCTTTGATAATTTTGGAGATAGGGTCTTGCTTTTTGCCCAGGTTGGCCTGGATCACAATTTTCCTAGTTAAGCTTCCTGCTGTTACTCAGTGACAGGCACATGCCACCACACCCAACTTTTTCCCTTGAGATGAGCTTTTTTTTTTTGGTGGTGCTGGGGTTTGAACTCAGTGGCTCATGCTTTCTAGGCAGACACTAGCCACTCCACCAGCCCTTGTGATGAGATCTTGTAAACATTTTTGCCCAGGCTGGCCTGGAACCTTAATCTTCCCAATTTTAGCCTCTCAAGTAACTAGGATTATACATGTGAGCCTCTGGTGCTGGCCAGATGTCCATTTTTACTTTTGCCCAGAATGAATTTTTTTTTTAAATCAATCATCAGATATTCTAATAAGGATTTCATAAAAAGAAGGAACATTTTAATATGAAAATAGAGAGAGCTGGATGCTGGTGGCTCACATCTGTAATCCTAGCTACTCAGGAGGCAGAGATCAGGAGAATCATGGTTCAAAGCCAGCCCCAAACCAATAGTTTTTGAGACCCTATCTTGAGAATACCCAAAACAAGACAGGACTGATAGAATGGCTCAAGTGGTAGAGTACCTGTCTAGCAAGCGTGAGGCCCTAAGTTCAAGCCCCAGTACCAAAAAAAAAAAAGGGAGGAACTGGGTATGGTGGCTCATGCCTGTTATCCCAGTTGCTCAGGAGGCACAGATCATGAGGATCATGATCATGAGGATCATCTAGGCCAGCTAGATGCTCTTATGGTCCCATTTCACAGATGTGGAAGCTGAGGTTCCCTCCTGGAATGTGATGGCCACATTGGTTAAGTAACCCATATTGGTTCCAATTCAATTCTGGAGTGATTTGCTCCCTACATAAGGAAAATGAGGGGTCCTAAGTTTAACTATGGGTGCCTGCCCAAAGCTGAGGTTCAGTTCAAGGTCACAGGTCAGAGGGCATACTTGCTCAGGTTCCAGTGGCATGTGGTCAGGAGGGGTAACCCTTATCAGAATAGTCTTCTCCAAGAGTTGCTTTTGTGGTTAGCAATGGAGGTAGAACATGCTCTCCTATACATCAGCCAAGTCCAAGGCTATCTCATCTTGTCTTCCCTGGGGCATTGGTCTAGGGTGTCTCCACCCAGGAGCCTCTGGGAAAGCTCAGGTCATTGAGGAGTTGAGGCCTGGTCCTTAACTCTTGTCTCCTGGCAACCACGCAGCAACTTCCTTCGTTGGTCCATCTGTGTTCATTCATTTACACCTGAAGGCCTGTTGTGCTCCAGATGTTATGATGAATGTCCAGTGAGGGACAAGAAGGAGAGGTCCCTGCCCTCATGGAGCTCAGCCTGGGAGACTGAAGGTAGAAGGAGATGGCTGGCTTTGACAGGCTGCTAGCACCACCCCTTAGCTCACTGTTGGGCAAATGAGGACAGCAAATGCCAGTTGATGCCACAGGGGCAAGTTTAGTAAAGCCTAAGGCTTGCACAATCTTAGGAACCTTCTTTAGGAAAAAGAATGCAAAAAGCAAAATTATAAATGCAAAGTTAGTTGCAAATGTGAATGTTTACTTAGCATGCAAAAATCAGCACAGCAAATAATTTACCAATTCCATAAACATCACCAAATCCAGAGAAATAAAATTATAATTTTATTCATTAACTATCTGACACACCTCTGTAACATTTTGTCTGATGCCTGTCCTTAACTGTACACCCTTTGATCTCCCTGTGAACACATTGTGAGTTCCCCTCCCAGGGACTTGGAAGAGACCGGGCAAGTGAGGGGCCCTGAAGTTTAAGTTTCATGAGATAATCTGTAAATCCATCTTTACATTTCTGTTCCTTATCTCATCAAATCCTTGGAAGAATCTTAGCTCCTAGGTATCTCTACTACCCCATCTCATAGACTGGGCAACTGAGGCTCAAAAAGGGAATGGAGCCAGGCACCAGGCAAATAGTTCTCAAGACCCCATCTCCAAAACAACCAGAGCAAAAAGGACTGGAGACGGGCAGGAGAGGGGGGTAGATCTGTATAGCAAGAGGGAAGGGAAGCAGGCAGGTGTCACCTTTGGCCTTCTCTTCTTTCTTTCTAGATTTCAAATCTTGCCTTTTCTTTCCAGCATGGGAGCATTCAAGTTGGGGATGTGTGTTATTTGCCAGACCCAGGAACGGTATGGCAGGGTGGCTGAAGGTCATGCTGGAGAGCACTTTGAACAACCCATTTCCCTCCTTTTTTTGTCTTTTTTTTTGTAATGGGACTTGGGTTTGAACTCAGGGCTTCACACGAACTATTTGTTGGGGCTGGTCTTGAATTGTGACCCTCCTGATCTCAACCTCCTAAGTAACTAGGATTACAGGCATGAGCCACCTCAGCTGCTACCCAAATCTTGATCAACTTCCACCTCCTCCAGGAAGCCTCTCAGGACTCCATGGCTCACTCTGGTCTCTTCCTCTTTGTATCCTTCAGTGGTTTCATATCCCACCTCTTCTTTTTCAGGAGATGCTAACCTGTAAGATTGTGCTGATATGGCCATAAACCAGCATCTGGCGCAGGTTCATCCTGTCACATCATTTTTCCTACTTGACCATCTGCTTTTGAGGGTGGCAGCACTGGAGTCCTACTGACTGGTACAAGGCTCAGCTCTGCTGCTTCTTGGCTGTGTGACTTCAGGTAAGATGCTTAACTTCTCTGTGCCTTCATTTCTTTATTGGTAAGATAGGAAGAGTGACTTTACTTCCATCGTTAGGGTGTTGTATGGACTTAAGTGATTAGACCTGTGTGAAGCACTTGTAACACCGCCCAGTGGAGTGCAAATACTTATTATGGCTACCACTACCATCATCAAAGTCTGGAGCGCAGTGAGGGGACACACTGTGGCCCTCCTTATAGGGCCCACCCGCTGGCACAAAGCCTCCGGGAGGGTGGGGGAAGACAGAGCTGGCTTCTGGCCTCTGCTTGGGTCATTGCATGATCCTAAACACATTGCTTACCTTCTCTGGGCCTCTGGGTTCCCAACTAGAAGAAGGGAGTCTTTCAGCATTTGACATTTCTCCAACCAAATAGCCATAAATGTCCATCAGCAGGTGAAGGGAGAATGAGGGGAGGGAAGGAAAAATGGAGAATGATGGAGAGTGTGAATTCAAGTATGGTATATTTTACATATTTTAAGAATGTTTGTAAATGCCACAATGTACCCCCACCCAGCACAACAATAAAAACCAAACAAAACAACAGCAACAACAAAAAAACCAGGTGAAGGCACATGAACTGTGGTGCGTCCTCAGCAATGGAAAGCAATGAATGAATGAATGAATGCCTGGTCACATAACAGTGTGTGTGACCCTCAGAAACACTATGCTTGCTAGGAGCAGCCTTCCCTGAATCTCTGTGTGATTCCACTTGTGGTTCACCGAACACCACTGGGACAGGATGTACTTCAGCGGCTGACAGAGGCTGGGTGTGGAGCAGAGGGCTGACGGCGAGGGGGTACTGAGGAGCCACTGGGAATATGGAAAAGAACCAGGTTTAGGTTGTCTGAGCTTTTCCTTTTTTTGTGGGGGGGCTAATTTTATTTTTTTAACACATTAAGCTGTTAAAAACTAAAGCCAAGTTGTGGAATAACACTGATAATGCTGAAGTGTATTGGGAGCTTGCTGTGGGTGGGTCCTGGCCCTCTAAGCCTCACACACATTATTTTGTTTAAATCTTAAGAATATTCATGTGAGGTTTTATAGCTGAGAAAACTGAGAATCAGGGATTAAGCAATGAGTCTGGTGAGCAGCTGAGAAGCCACGTGGTTGGGACCGGAACAATGCTGTGAGCCACCACACAGTGCTGTGGTGTGTGGTCCAATCCGTTGTTTGACAACGTCTGTCTATGGCTTTCTATCTGGAGGGTGGACTCACTGGCACTTTCACTTTCCGTACCATAGGCTTTGGGTTTCCAATTGATTGTAACATGTCTCAGTTACCTTTGTCATCAGAAAGCCATACAGATTGTACTTACAAATGCACATATGTAGGCACAAAAGTCCAGACTCTGAGCTGTATCATCTCTACCCAGGACCTGGGAGACCCCTCCCCCTGCAGGGCTGGGTGCCTGCCAGGAGCCTCGAGCCCAGCTGATAAAGGCCCCCAGCCAGCTGGCCCGTATCAGGCCATGGCAGCCTGTGCAGCCCATCCATCTGGTACCCCAAGGGAGGGTGGGACCTGTCCTAGGAGCCAGCAGGCTCCAGGGCCCCAGAGATAAGAGTTGCTGCAGACAGTGTATAGGAGGCTTTGAGGATCAGGGACTAGGGTCTGCAGCAGGGAGTCGGGGCTGTTGCAGGTCTCTCTCCACTGGACAGAGAGGCCTCAGAGAAGGTGTGACCTGTGTGGTCTGTGTTTGTTGGTGTGGTTCTACTGCTCTGTGGCTTGGGCACATGTCAGTCTCTCTCTGGTCCTCAGGTTCCTCTGGGATTTACTGGTTTCAGCTAGTCCTCTTTTAGGAAGGAAGCTGGGCACAGAAATGGTCCCTAACGATCACTAGTGTACAGCCCGACAGCAGAATGGACAAGAGATATCCTGGGCCTTCATGTCTAACCCCAGGTGGATAGCAGAGACAAGCTTGTACCTCCCAACCCTGAGCACCAGGGCATGCAGGACCCAAGGATGGGCAGGGCCACCCCAGGCTGGGCCAAGGCTTGTTTACATGTCCAAAGGTCAAAAGCCGCCTGCCATAGAGGGCCTGAGTTGCTGAGAATCTGTGGCTATGTCCCCAGCAGGAAGATAACATGTGCCATGGGCAGGACTGGCTACCCCAGAAGAAGATAAGGTGAAATGACAACACTTAGGATGCCCTCTCTGGTAGACCCTGGCCAGCTCCACTGCTGGGGCTCCATGGGACTCCTTCAGGCTCCTCCTGGGGTATTTCTACCGTCTCCCACCCCTGTAGGTCTGTGAGCCTCCTCCAGCCCAATTAGCTTGGTTGCCCCTGCCTTCTCCCCACACTGCTCTGCCCACCACTGGTTTTATAGCAATAGGTCCTTCTTCCTTTCTGAGCCTCACTTTCCTTACTTGAATAGCTCCTACCTGACATTGTGCAGTGAACAGTGAGTGAGCTCAGGTGTGGCATGGTGTCAGGTGGGTGAAGGGGACCCAACACAGGTCTCTCTTTCTCGGGATAGCTTCACCATCTGGAAACCTACTCAGATGTAAGAAGCTCTCCAGTCTTACACCTCATATCATAGGGTGTAGCCTGGAAATTCCATGTGTCCCATTCAGCTCTCTTCCGCTACAGTATTTCCCAACTCTACCTCTTGCTCCTGCAGCTAGTCACCCTTTCCCCATCCACACTGTCCCACAGAATGAATGTACCATGAACACTTGTCATGTACTGAAAGCAAAATTGTAAGTTTGGGGCTCCTAGTCCTGCTGCAGCGGTGGAACTTGCACACTAAAACCCCTTACAGTGGTAGCTTTTCAGTGTGTGTAGCCCAGGCACAGACAGCCAGTGGACATTCATTGAGTCTGTCTCAAAAGAAACCTTGGATATATTCTTCTCTAATTTCTCCCCCAGAGATACTCTTGATCTTGACTACTCACCTGCAAGGGAAGAGGGAAGCTCCTTTCCCTAGAAGGAGCTCAGTCTATTTTTAACACATCTAGTAAAATGCTTTTATACTTAGCTGTCAAAAAGTGTGCACATTAATAACCTGCTGTGATAACAATGCTGTGGGGACATGCTCCCTCCCACACTGTGGGAGAGAATGAAATATTTAACTTCACTCATGCCTTTTATTTTTTTTGGCAGTACTGGGGTTTGAACTCAGGTTCTTGCACTTGCTAGGCAGGTGCTCTACCATTTGAGCCACACCTCCCCCAATAAACAAATTTCATAGGGTTGTTGATGAGAATTAATATAATTAATATTGTAAATCACTTGGTACATAAGATTCATGTCATAAGTACTTAGGGAAAAATGCAAGAATAAATTTTCATAAAAATGATAAATATTAACATATAATAAAAAAATTTAAAACATATAGTATACAAATATAAATAAATATATTAACAAATAATATACTAATAAATCAATATTAAATATGTAACAGTAAAAACGAACAAATTTTCAGCTCAACAAAACCAAATCTATTTTCAGGAATAAATTTTTAGTTATATTTAGCTGCTTAAAGGCTGACTGGATCTGACTCCTCTGTCTTTGTTGCCACCTAGTGGTCACAATGAGAAAGCACACATTGCAAGGCTGGCCATTCTTTTAAAAAATTTTTTATTTTATTGTTTTTACATTTACTTACATGTGTATACATTATTTGGGGCACTCCCCCTCCCCCCGGCCATTATTCTTTTATGTTACAATTATTGAAGGTGTGAAAAGTATCAGGAACACACAGCCTGTATCTTCTCAATTTTCTTATCTCTAGAATGTGGATAATAGCTGGTTGTGGTGGCTCACGCCTGTAATCCCAACACTCAAGCGGCTGAAGCAGGAGGATCTCAAGTTTCAGGCCAGCCTGGGCTACATAGGGAGACCCTGTCTCAAAACCCCAAAAAGCAAAATAACCCCCCCAACAACAAAACAAACAACAAAAACACAAAGGAATGTGGGTAATAACATAACCTGCCCCCTAAATTTGTGAGAATTAAAACACGATAATGCATGTAAAGCGTTTAACACTGGCCTTGACACAAACGAATGCTGTAATGATAGTAATTATTGGTATTTACACACATACTTTCACTTAGGAGACAAATGAGATGCCCATTTCATGGGTGAGGAACTTGAGATTCAGACGTTAAAGTTACCTAAGGTTACTTCCCTAACAAGGAAAGGGCGGGGGTTGGAATCCCAGTTCTTATACCAGAACACCATGGGAGGATCCCAGAGAGGCATTCCGGCCTCAGCAGACCCCGCCCACGTGGTGCCGAGCACCCCAGAAAACAGAGGTCGACTGGATGAAGGAGTTCGCGAATGAAGAGTCTCATGGCCAGCTTATCTCCAACGTGCTTGGCGACGGGTGTAAGGTTTCAGGGGTGGAAAGGAGATTAAACTTTGCAGGTACAAGTCCTCCGACACCCATGAGCTAAAATGATGCTCCCAACTTCAGGCGGTAGGAAGAAGGTTGCATTTCCCATTTTAGCGCTTAATAAATAAATCGGGAGGGGTTAAGCAATCTGCTCAGCCCCTTAGTGTGGTTGTGGGGAAACGATCCAGGGGTACTCCAGGGAGGTACTCCAAGGATGCCATTGAGGATGAGTCATTCAGTGTTCCTCTTCACCTGGAAGGGCGGACTGGGAGCGAGTCCCCAAGCACAGGTGAGGGGCGTGAGTGCAGTGTGGGCGAGCTTACTGGGTCGCTCGGGTGGCATGAGGCAGCCCAGGGTTAGAAGATGGGCTCCTCTAGACTGGGGCGCGATTTAAAGGGCGGGGAAGAGGGAAAGGCCTGCAGTCACGTGGCTAATCTCCCCCACCAGGAGTGAACGCAACGCAGTAGGGTTGCTGATGCTCCTTACTGGGCTAGAGGAGACCCTGCAGCAGGTGGGAGTCAGAATGAACATGAGCCGCATTGGAAGGCAGCTCCACCCTAGAGCAAACTCTCTTCTGTCTTCCTGTGGCTGCAGGGCTGCCTTGCCCTATTCTCAGCCTCGCGTCCAGGCTCCCTCCGCTGGAAGGGATGCACTTGCTCATGCGG